CTGCCCTTCCGACACTCCATCACGATATACAATAATACGGGTGGGCTTGAAACGAGTATTACGATAGAACTGTACCAACAACTCCCGAACCATCATAGCAAGATCACTTATTGTTTCCTAGAAATATATTCCTTTCAGGAATAAGTGAAGTAAGCTGCTAGCTAAATATACTTCAATATCTTTACAATAACATACTTGTCTCTGATGCTGCACCCGTACTGTTGCAGCATACCGTGATGGATGAGCATCCATGCTCCCAACTACGGCAGCAATAGATGGCTTTCTGGCATCGCCCGCTGGAGGATGTGTTATGTCGCAACCCAGAAATATGACTGAAAACATGAACTTGCAAAGTTGGTTCAAGAATTGTAGACATCTGTCCTTAAAGCATCTCATCATACTACGTCCAAACAAACCATAAAGGCACCATATAAAACCAGTTTGCTCCACTTCTGGAAAAACTACCCACCTGGTTCATTAAATATACGAGGCCTAACTGCAGGAAGAAGAATTGAATTAACACCACCAAGTTTCACGTTCATTTTTAAACATAAATTTGAAAGTGTTTGCGGAGTAGTTTTGATGACGTTCTTCGCCTGCACACATTGGGTTGCAATTCCTAACACTGTATCACCAACTCGTTTTACTTCCGCTGAACAAACGCCAAAACTCAGGAGCAATAATGCATCGAGAAAGCAAAGCAAAAAAAAAAAACCAGCAACACGGTAGAAAAATTCTTGAAAAAAAAAAAAAAAAAACGCCAAATATAACTATCAAAACAGAAAACTCTAAAAAAGAATCACCATAAACTGGAGTCTTTCCAGGCAGAACCACGCAAACCAGTTGAATCCCCACGAAGGTCTGTTTCAAATACTTGAACATAGGCTCCACTTGATCAACGCCAACAGCATATTTGCAAAAACAAGGTTGGCCCATAATAGGCATGCCTGCATCGTTAGATATTCTTTGCAGTTGTGTTGTGAAATTGCTAAAAAGCAGAGCACCAAAAAATGAAGGAAAAAGAGGCTGTCTTTACAGTTTAAGACTACAACAAGCAAAAAAGCAGAGAAAATAATAAACAAAAAAAAAATTACTCAGCAAAAATGAACGAAAATATTAGATAATACTCAAAGATGTACCGAAGATCATTTTCTTTAACATGTTGTTGTTGCGCAAAACACGCTATTGCCCAAATCTTGACTTCAACTCCAGTGTGAAACTGCTTCCCCCTCATATCCCACACACCTTGATTGGGCAATGCTGTGGCTTTTGTACGGCCACCATACAATAACTTAGGTGCATTTAATACACGACCTTTCACCTGCAATTGAAAGATCTTTTCACAACAATACGTTTCGCACAAAAAAATTAAGAAGATCAAACTCCTGACCTCTGTCATTAACGGGTTGATCGCAATGCCAAACTCATGAGCAAATGGATCTGAGTTAAATTCAGCCTTCCTTACAAGATTCGAGATCTCCCGCTCCCGCTCTGGAGCAGAACGTGCAGTAGCCTAAAGAAATGTAATTAAAACGCCAGCGAAAGTACCCCAAGTAAAAAATACCGCATGATAAACATGAATATGTATACCTTTATCATTGTACTTGTCTGGGTATCAGTTAACTTTTTGATACACCTCTGACCGGCAACAATGTTGCAAACTTCAGGTGGAAGATATGTGTGTTTCTGCTCCTGTCCTACTTGCAGACAAGGCAAATGTGGGTATTTCAACTGCATGTGATATTTGTCATAAAAATACTTGGCTACGGTACACTCAATAGACTGTCCAGTCTCCAGTTGCAAGGGAAAACTACAAAAAATAAATAAAGTAAAGCAACCCTCGCAGTAATGAGCTTCGAGTGTCATTACTCAGTAAATAATTAAAAATTCAGTGTATCACTCACGTTTGAGTCTGTGCTGGCCTTCTTGTGACATTACAAACTCGATATTTCCTCCGCATTTGACCACAGTGAGTAATTTCGATTTTTAACCCACGAATCTCCTTTGTAAACTTTACACGTTGTGCATCAGAAAGAACGCGGCGTTCAGCGAGTGCTTGAACCGGAAGCTCCAAAACCTCCGCGATAAATTCAATCACAGACATTGAGCGATAAAAAGCAGTCGCGGAAACTGAATTAAACAGCTTTAAAAATATTAGAAAGTGATTAAAAACACAAATTTTACTAAACTTCCTCTCCAAAGGAATAAAACAAATGACCTTACAAATAAAAAGAAATCAAATTTACCATCAATATTAAGCATCATCTTCCACTGACTCGGCCTAACGCTTTGGTGAAATCCAAACCAAACTTCACGCCCTCCACCTAGTTTGCTCTCGGAATGATACTGTGCTGAATGCTGCGGACCGTGCTGTTGCGAATTTACGGGAGGAGAAAAGAAAGATCGTCCAACAGGGGTATATCTAAAAAAAAAAAAAAAAGACGTGTTCGAGGAATCAAATTTTTCTTTAAAGAAAGAGTACTGAAAATCAGTAAAATAATCCAGGTAAACTAGTACTTCAAACTTGGCAAATGGCGAAGAATTACATCCATTGCCTGAACGGACTCTATAGGTACAGGACGAATGCGTCCTTCCATGGCGTCCTCTAAAGTTGACAAAGAGACCTGAAAAAGCAACTCAACATAGAACAATAGAATGATATTTTTCTTTCAAAGTTCGCTTGATGAAAATACAGATAAAAAAAAACTTAAGTTCCAGATGCAAATGCCTTACTGACAACCTCGTCAAAAGATAGAGTTAAAAAAAGTTACCGTAGTCATCCACTTCAAAGTCACTCTAAACTGTCGCTCGACATTTGAGTCGCCCGGAAGCGTTACTTCTAACTCAATTCGATCACGGCCGATAGGAAGTAATTCACGCGTATACATGTTTTTCTTCCCGTCATAAACCGGCCGAGTGTTATTAAAAATTCTTGCGTAAGCACGAATCATACTGTTAACAATCTCCCTGAATTTGGCAAAAATAACGAAAAAATATGCCAGTGGGAACATTAAAGTATGTTATTCATTCACTTGACAACTATTTACTCACCGGTTCACCCTACGAGGACATTTATCAGGTTGCACATCAACCAGATAATGTTGAATGTTTCCACCTGGTATCCGGACCGCAAAATGGTTTGCCCGAAGAACTATAGAACGCCCTTCTATGCCATGGTTTGGTCTTCGAGGACACTGGAAAGGAACGCTACCTGCAACAAAGCAACTGTAGTAAGTACAGTCAAACATAGATCTTAAATAGAGATTAAAATAAAAAATAAGCATTTTAAAAACAAAAAGAAAAAATTTTACCAGGTGCAGAAAGGCCAGTGCTGGGAGCAATCGCTCCTTGCGGGTTCTGTGCTTGCCCTGTGCCTCCCGGTACATCTCCTGAACTAACAGGACCACCAGGAGCAAGAGAACCTGGAGGACGAGGTTCATAGGGCGGAGCCCCATTACCACCTCCAATCATCATATGACTATGAGTCGATGGAGGTCCAATGGCCGATACTGGCATCTGTAAAGCATTAGAAATTAGAATCTAGACGGCACATAAGAAAAAAGAAAAAAGACAGACGTTTACTCACATGTGATGCGTAGGGTTCATTACTCATTGAATATTGAGGTACCACTTGACCCATTTGGGGAGCACCCATGACGTTTGTCAAGGGAGGCATAAATGTAGCTCCCTGTGGCACAACACCTCCCGATGACTGCATATCCGAAAACGAAAACGCTTCTGAAAAATACCAATAAAAAATAAAAAAAAAAA